TGCCTTCCCCCCCTTGCCTCTCCCCCCCGGCTCCTCGCCGTCCCCCCCGGCCCCGAAGCGACGGCCGAGCCCGTCAACTGAGAACTGAACTCAGGCCCCCCAGTGTCAAGCGAAAGGGGAGGGGACCTGGGAAAGAAAGGCAGCCCCCACTTCGGAGGAGCGGCCAGGTAGGCAGGGCGCCCCGGAGGGGTACATCCCTGAAAGGCCCGGGGGGGAAGGGGGAGGGGGGAGAATCACCTCCGCACTTTGCCAGTCGCCAAGAGAAAACCCCGGGGGACCCATTGGACCCGGCGAAGAAAATCTGTGATCGTGAGACCCCAGTGCCAAGGAGGCGCCACGGCCGCCAAGAAGGGGAGCTACAGCCGAGGGGAGCGGGACGGTGAATCCCAGTGCTATGCCTCCTTCCTCCAGCAGCAGGGGACTCTTTCTTTTTTTAACAGGCCCCTTTCCCTTCAGGCGAGTGGTGGCCGTCTTGGACTAAATTGGAGGGGTTAAAACAAAACAAAACAACCCACAGGATTGCAAAGAGAAGGGTGTCCACGCTGAGGATTTAGCCGTCAAAAGTATTCTTCAGCAAATCCAAGCGGCGGCGGCGGCGGCGGTCGCAGAGCGTTCCCTGTGCATGCGCAGGGGGCGCTCTGTGAGTTTCGGGGGGATTTAAACATCCCCTCGAGGTTTTTTTCAAGATTTAGGATTTTTGTGCACATGTGGGGACCGCCCCACGTGCGCACAAACCTCTCCTTCCCCCCCAGGTCCCCTCGATGTGCGGATATAAGCATCCGCACACCAGGGGGCGACTTGAGGATTAGATATATAGATACAGAGCCCTACTGCAAACCTTTTGGACCTTGAAAATGTCCATGCTACGCGCTATGGAGTGTCTGATGCATTCTTTTTTGCTAAATGCTGCTAACTAGTCACACTGCAGAAGTGAAGTCTGGATCATGAGGGTTCTGCCCTTCTTTTGCTGCTCTTAAACGAGTTGTCTTCTCAACTCTGCTCTTCCTAGAAGGAACAGTAGACAAGCACGTGTGGTAGCATTTTGATAATCCTGCTATTATTGTTGGAATAAAGATGTTGCCCGGCAAGTTTATGGGTTGCTAATACCACACTGAACAGTGTTTATTTGAACTGGCAGTTTACATCTTTACAAAAACAAGAGAGATTTCAGTCTGAGGAACTCATTAATAATACTGTAACCCACAAGAGTCTTGCTTTTTATTTGGATTTGCTGGGCCCTGGTTGGTTCCTCTTCTTGGCTTGCCCTCGCTGAACTTGCCTTGCTCGCGTTCCAAATCCCAAGGTCTGCAGGGACTCTGTTATGTACTTTTGGCTGGGGGAGACACACAACACCAGCAGTAATTTCGCATCACCACCTAAGGCAAACGAGCAAGAAATATTTTCATTGGTATTTCAATATGTTGCAAAATATTAACAGGATAAATTGTCCAACAAGTCAAAAGCAGGACTGTTTCAATTTCACAGAAAATTTATTTATGGAAGACAGGACTGGATAGCCATTATTCAGTATAAACTACAGGACAGAGTTACAGTTTATCTGTTCCATAATGATCTGCCAGCATAAAAAATGTTCTGTCCTTCTATTTTGTACTGGACTCCTTTAAAACTTACAGTAGCACAGAACATCAGTTGCTTCCACACTAGCTGTTTAGTATGAAATTGCCATAATTTGTTTACTTATTTAATGGATAATATAAACAATGCCTTTGTCTCAGACCCCTGTTGTATCTGCTGTGGTCTCCCCTTCTTTTTTCTAACAAAAAGGGAAGGGGGAAGGGGAAAAAAGGGGGGGGGGAGAAAACTCAACCCAAAAAGTTGCTGTACAGGATGGAGTGACATACATTCAACTCACATAAGTTTGTGCTACCAGAATTATTGGTGGACTTTAATTGGCTAGACTGGAGGCCCATCTTATAGAATAATAATAAACAAATACAGAAGTATTTAGGAAACAACATCTGGCCTTATACTGTATATGTATTTAACATCTTATGTAAAAATTTTTTTGAATGTATGTCAAATTTGTAATTAGAATTGTGACCACTGAAGAAGGCCCTTTGAGGGGCCGAAACGCGTTTGGTTCAGTTGCGCAGCACTAACCCATCTATGTATGAATGTTGAGAAGTTTTTTATGTCTGAATGGTATATTTTTAATGAATCTAAGTTTTAAAATGTGTACACCTGAATAAATTTTGTATTTTCATAATATTTAGTGTCAGCTTAACCCTTGTGGATCCATAACTCCCCTTCTTTCTATACACTCAATTTGTAACTTTTTAGAAAAACATAAAATGCAGTTGCTACAGCAGGTTGTTGCCCTGCAAGGTGCTTTTGAGGCAATCCGGCTAACAAGGTTGTCTAGCGTTTACAGTTTTTCAGGACAACAGCCTCTTTATATTCTTTCTTCCACGATTATTACAGGAAGGGCTGTGGCTCAGTGGAAGATGATTTGCGTGGCCAGCAGAAGGTCCCAGGTTCTAAGCCCCAGCATTTCCATGCAAAAGAACCAGGTAGGAGGTGATGTGAAAGACCTCCATCTGAGACCCTGGAGACCTGCTGCCAGTCTGAGTAGACAATACTGTCCTTGATGGACCAAGGGTCTGATTCAGTATAAGGCAGCTTCATGTATATAAGGCAACTTCATGTGTATTTTCTGTTGCTTCCATGGCTGGCCACAGCATTCATCAATTGAACGGTTAATTGAATAAAAGAAGTGGTGAATTAAGTACTACTTTTCGTTTAGCAGTAAAACCGTTGCCACATTTTTTAATTTTATTTTTTATTATTGTTTGCTGTGTTTGTGAAATTATACGATTAAATAAAAAACGAGCAGTTGTTTTGCCTGCAAAGGAAAAAGCTGTACCTTCCCATGCTCAAAACAGGAACTGATGATTAACAACTGATTAATGAATACTGCAACTAGCTGTGGAAAGAACAGGAAATAATTAACTAAGCTGTTAGACAAAGGAACAAAAGACAATTGCAGGGAGAAATGGCATCTCTGCTGAAAAAGACTAGTTTCTGAGGAAACATATAATGTGGACATAGCTGGATTTTAGGGGAAATGCACTAATATATTAAGTGTCTTGCAGTAGCACCGTTTTGATTTCATTTGCACGTCTGTGTGAAAGAAATGACCGACCAAAAGTATTCTAGTATGGAAACAGCCATGGTGCATATACACCAAGACAGGGGGAAATACAATGTACAGCTACAAGGCAACCAAAAGCACTAGTAGTTCAGCCACCACAAATGGAAGTTGATTTCATTTAGGGCAAAAGGCTTAAAAGGCAGGACAAAAATAGCATGTACACTAGTAAAAAAGACTCCCTAGGTCTGTATATGACTGCATTTCTATGGTTCTGCCCACACAGGTGAATACTGAAGACAGAAGCAAAAAATTGTGAGGAAAAATGATCTCAGAATGATATTTAAACAATAAAAGTAATATAACTGAAAAGGGGTAAAAAACCAGTACTGGATAAAGACTGAAGCCAGAAATCTTACTAAAATATGTTTTTTCATATGGTTTCACTAAACAGTGACAAGTCTTGTTTAAGTAGCAAGGTAATGAAATTCTGAATTTTATTCCAAGCTTCACAACAAGTTGGGATTTACTCAGGAAAACATTCCCATGGACTATGCCTTAAATGTCTTCCTGACATAAGTGCCACTATAAGATAACATTTTCCACCAACAACACAGAGAAATATACCTTCAGAATTATTTAAAACATGCTATGTTCGCACAAGGACTGTTCCCAAAATCAAGTTACTTAGTTTATTTGGCCAAAAAACAAATAAAGGAAGCGTGATAAAGACTCCTCACCTTTTTTGTAGAAGGGCTCCAATATCTAACAGCTGCAAGACAGACTGAACTTCAACGGGTGCAGCTTTTTTGGGCAGGGAGATTCAAATATAGGAAAAAATCTTCACCTGTTGAATTTCTGTTTGTCACACAGGTGTTAAATATCTCAAGGATGCTGCCAGGAATAAAATGAAGCAAAACATAGTGCATCTTTTGGCAAAGAGCCAGAGGACTTCGGACATTTTAAGTCAATGTTAAACAATGAATGTTCTGAACTAGAGGTAGTAATTGATGTTCATTACCAACGAGACAGAGGTTGCTGTTGGTTAATAATATTAACAGCAAGGGATCAACAGTCAGCCTGTTCCTAAATGCACAGCTGAGAAGCACTGTAAGTTTCATGCCTACAGATGGAAGCACAGACCTCTGCTATGGCCTTTGCCCAGCTTTGGTTGAAACGCTAGCTGTGATAGTTCCTCGAGGGGCTGGATCTAGCCACCGTCATCCAGGCCTTGATCATAACCAAACTGCGCTACTGCAGTACACACTTGTGTGGGGTTGTCTCTGATGGCTGTTCAAACACTTCAAGTAGAACAGAACATAGGAATAAGATTGCTGATGGGCACTAATTATTGGTATCTTATTTCTTAAAGTTTAAAAGAATTGCATTAGTCGCCTGTGGCTTCCAGGAGAAATTCAAAGCACAGGCTATGATGTTTAAAGTCTTAAGTAGCCTAAGGTAAGGGTAGGACTGCTTGCTGCCGTATCAACATGCTTGAGAGACAGTGTGGTATACTGGTTAAGAGCATCAGACTCGGGCGTAGCCAGAAGATTTTGGTTGGTGGGTCATGGGGAAATTGGGGGGGGAGAACCCTCGTCGCACCTGCTGCTCCTCTTGCAGCAGCAGAAGCAGCAGCTCCGGCTCCACTGCAATCTCTAGTCCTCCTCTAGCCCATTTGATTGGAGATACTTTATTCCAGCCTGCTTTTCTGTGTAAGCCCGAGGGGTGGGGGATCTCCGACTCTCTCTGTTTTGCATTTCGCAATTTTATTTTATTTTATTGCATTTTAAGAAAACCATTTATTTTTCAGCCTGGAAAAAAGAAAAAAACAAGACTGAAGCTTCTCTGATTGTGCCTGGGGTCATTTTGGAACACCCACGTACACCTTACATTTAAAAAAATTATTTTTAAAAATTTTTCCCTGACCTCTTTTAAAAATTTTCTGAGGGGGCAGCACTCACCTGCAGAGGGCATTGCCTCCACATGCCCCCTGTGGCTATGGGCCTGGTATCAGACTAGTATCTGGCAGTCCCAGGTTCAAATCCCCACTTGTGTCATGGAAGCTCACTGGGTGACCTTGGACTAAATCACACACTCTCAGACTAACCTACCTCACAGGGTTGTTGTGAGGATAAAGTGGAAGAGAAGAGAATGAGATATGCTGCCTTGGGTCCCCACTAAGGAGAAAGGCAGGGTATAAATGAATTAAACAGACAAAGAACTGAGAATTCCCCTCCCTTCAGAGGTGATATGGGTTGTTAACAGGGAGACTGGTGGTATAAGCGTTAGGTAATGGGAGGTGTTAGCAACTGTCTGGGTCCCAAAATAAAATCCAAAAAATCAGAACAAAATCTCTGTAATACCTTTGATTAGGACCAACCAAATGACACAACAATGTGCAGCTTTCGAGTTCACTAGAAACCTTCATCAGGCTGGATATTTTAATTTTTATTTTAATGTTTAAATATACCACTATTCCTCATGAACTGGATGAAATTATAAGGAATTATGTCAGGTCCTGCCACCTCTCGGCCAACTCGCCTCCTTTCTAATGGAGGTGGCCCAAAACATGTTTTCTGCATCTTATGTGACTGGCAGAGAGGAGCTAATTCTATCCCAAAGACGGATGGAGAGAGAGAAAGCCAATAAAATGGAGGTTGGATGACAACACTCCTTCCCACAGTTACTGAGAGAGTGACTAGTCTTTTCAGCTTTAGGCACTGCCAAGACTAATAAAAAATTAATAAAGGTTTTTGATTTATTTTATTTTTAACATGTTTACCAGCTCTTCTGCTGAAATGGCCCTCAGGTTCTGGTATGAGTGTGTGCATCTTGAATGTACTGGCCATCATAGTATTTTTTCTTGGCTGTTGTTTTATTGATATAGTTGCATTTTTAAACAGATGTTTTTGTTTAGAAGATGCCTTGGAAGCCTTTGGTTGGGAAGCAGGGTACAAATCTTCAAAATAAATAAAATGTATAGCAAAGGCTATAATCACCAATGGAGTCCTGGAGTAAATGTGTAAGTTTGCTGTTTCGATAGGGAATATGAGAGCGATGTTCTGCTATTGCTCCAAGTACATCTGCCAGAGCAGACAAGCTGCGATTAATGAAGGAGGTTTCCCTGAGTACTGCTCCAGTCACACCAGATATACCTAGGGGGGGAAAAAAATCAGTAATATTAAGCAAGGCTTCCTCACCACATCCAGACACCTGAATTTATATCAGACATGGGGGAAAAACAGGTATGCTTACTTGTAACTGATGCTCTTTGAATGGTCATCTGTGCACTCACACTAGCAGGCTGTGTATACGCTAAGAGCCTCAATTCAGAACATTCTAGAGCTTGCCTTTTAAGTGCAAAAATCCCCACCCTTTCAAGCCCATGCAACACTGTACTTGCCCAAGGGGGGGGGCAAGTCATGGGTTCCCACTCAGTTCTGCCAAAAATGATACCGCAGCAAGTTAAGACCCTGGATAACTGACTGGACAGTATTGTGTGTCGATATAGAGGCCAGCTGGACCAGTGTGTGAGCAGCATCCGGTGGAGGAATGCTCGGGCACTCAAGCACCATAGAGTCATTCGAAAAGAGCAAGAGTACCATAGCACCTTAGAGACTAACAAAATTTGTGGCTGGGTATGAGCTTTCATGAGTCACTGTTCACTTCTTCAGAACTTCTTTAAGGTGATACTGGACTCTTGCTCTTTTCTACTGTTACAGACAGACTAACATGGCTACCCTGTAGAGTCACTGTAAGAACTGGATGTCCAATTTTGCCAATATTGAGAAGGCTCATTCCCAAAGTTAGGAAGAGCAATTGTGCCTCACTGAGGAACTCTGATAGTGGCACAGAGTTTCAGCACTGTGCCCTTTTCTAAGGCACAAGATGTACTTAACACATGTATCGGTGGAAGGCAGTTTGCCCACAACATTTAAACATGGTCTGTTTAGTCATGCGTGGTATACCTGAAGCAAAAGAAATCTCTAAACCCATTCAAAAATTAAGAACAGCCATCTCTCTGAATATCCACCAGGCCCCCAGTAGGGGTTAGTCGCCAGAGGTGACCATGACTTCCAGGTGTACAGACACAGAGACCGATTCCGCACAAGCAGTTGCTGAATGGCCTGGGGGACTACTGCTTAGAAGAAAATTTGAAAATAAATTACACCAAAACAAAAGTGATGGTCTTCCGTAAAAGGCCAAAAATCTTTTTCATGGTACATACACGACATCCCAATTTTTTCATGGTGCATACATGGAACTCCACAGCGTGCCCTTTCCCACCGGCTCGCTTTCCACTAAGGAGAAAGGCAGGGTATAAATGAATTAAACAGACAAATAAAGAACTAAGAACTCCCCCCCCTTCAGAGGTGATATGGGTTGTTAACAGGGAGACTGGTGGTATAAGCGTTAGGTAATGGGAGGTGTTAGCAACTGTCTGGGTCCCAAAATAAAATCCAAAAAATCAGAACAAAATCTCTGTAATACCTTTGATTAGGACCAACCAAATGACACAACAATGTGCAGCTTTCGAGTTCACTAGAAACCTTCATCAGGCTGGATATTTTAATTTTTATTTTAATGTTTAAATATACCACTATTCCTCATGAACTGGATGAAATTATAAGGAATTATGTCAGGTCCTGCCACCTCTCGGCCAACTCGCCTCCTTTCTAATGGAGGTGGCCCAAAACATGTTTTCTGCATCTTATGTGACTGGCAGAGAGGAGCTAATTCTATCCCAAAGACGGATGGAGAGAGAGAAAGCCAATAAAATGGAGGTTGGATGACAACACTCCTTCCCACAGTTACTGAGAGAGTGACTAGTCTTTTCAGCTTTAGGCACTGCCAAGACTTATAAAAAATTAATAAAGGTTTTTGATTTATTTTATTTTTAACATGTTTACCAGCTCTTCTGCTGAAATGGCCCTCAGGTTCTGGTATGAGTGTGTGCATCTTGAATGTACTGGCCATCATAGTATTTTTTCTTGGCTGTTGTTTTATTGATATAGTTGCATTTTTAAACAGATGTTTTTGTTTAGAAGATGCCTTGGAAGCCTTTGGTTGGGAAGCAGGGTACAAATCTTCAAAATAAATAAAATGTATAGCAAAGGCTATAATCACCAATGGAGTCCTGGAGTAAATGTGTAAGTTTGCTGTTTCGATAGGGAATATGAGAGCGATGTTCTGCTATTGCTCCAAGTACATCTGCCAGAGCAGACAAGCTGCGATTAATGAAGGAGGTTTCCCTGAGTACTGCTCCAGTCACACCAGATATACCTAGGGGGGGAAAAAAATCAGTAATATTAAGCAAGGCTTCCTCACCACATCCAGACACCTGAATTTATATCAGACACGGGGGAAAAACAGGTATGCTTACTTGTAACTGATGCTCTTTGAATGGTCATCTCTGCAGTCACACTAGCAGGCTGTGTATACGCTAAGAGCCTCCATTCAGCACATTCTAGAGCTTGCCTTTTAAGTGCAAAAATCCCCACCCTTTCAAGCCCATGCAACACTGTACTTGCCCAAGGGGGGGCAAGTAATGGGTTCCCACTCAGTTCTGCCAAAAATGATACCGCAGCAAGTTAAGACCCTGGATAACTGACTGGACAGTATTGTGTGTTGCTATAGAGGACAGCTGGACCAATGTGTGAGCAGTATCAGGTGGAGGAATGCTCGGGCACTCAAGCACCATAGAGTCATTCGAAAAGAGCAAGAGTATCATAGCACCTTAGAGACTAACAAAATTTGTGGCTGGGTATGAGCTTTCATGAGTCACTGTTCACTTCTTCAGAACTTCTTTAAGGTGATACTGGACTTTTCTACTTTTCTACTGTTACAGACAAACATGGCTACCCTGTAGAGTCACTGTAAGAACTGGATGTCCAATTTCGCCAATATTGAGAGGGCTCATTCGCAAAGTTGGGAAGAGCAATTGTGCCTCACTGAGGACCTCTGATAGTGGCACAGAATTTCAGCACTGTGCCCTTTTCCAAGGCACAAGAAGTACTTAACGCATGTATCTGTGGAAGGCAGTTTGCCCACAACATTTAAACATGGTCTGTTTAGTCATGCGTGGTATATCTGAAGCAAAAGAAATCTCTAAACCCATTCAAAAATTAAGAACAGCCATCTCTCTGAATATCCACCAGGCCCCCAGTAGGGGTTAGTCGCCAGAGGTGACCATGACTTCCAGGTGTACACACACAGAGACTGATTCCGCACAAGCAGTTGCTGAATGGCCTGGGGGACTACTGCTTAGAAGAAAATTTGAAAAGAAATTACACCAAAACAAAAGTGATGGTCTTCCGTAAAAGGCCAAAAATCTTTTTCATGGTACATACACGACACCCCAATTTTTTCATGGTGCATACATGGAACTCCACAGCGCGCCCCTTCCCACCGGCTTCTCACGCCCCCACCTCCTCCCTCCTGCTCAGTGTGCCCCTTCCCGCCGGCTGACTTTGCCTCGCGCCCCGCCTCCTCCCTCCTGCCTCCCACATGCCGCCTCTCCGGATGCTTTGGAGCGGTGGAACTTTTCCTGGTGGCCGCGGAGCAAG